TGGGAACATAAGTTCCCAGTTCCCATTGTGGTCATAAGTAGAGAACCAATTGTACTGTATATTCTCTCAATTTTAATTATTAAACAGTTTAATAGTACTCTATACTATAGTGTCTTACATAATCATAGCTCATTAACTATGCAAACTTATCCTACAGAATACTGTCAAGTGCCAATCAAGTCTATAAGAGTAAATATATATATTAGAGTATCCAAATACAGTGGACCCCCGATTAACGATCTTTTTTCATTCCAGACGTATGTTCAGGTACCAGTACTGACCGAATTTGTTCCCATAAGGAATATTGTGAAGTAGATTAGTCCATTTCAGACCCCCAAACATACACGTACAAACGCACTTACATAAATACACTTACATAATTGGTCGCATTTGGAGGTGATCGTTAAGTGGGGGTCCACTGTACTACATTACTACAAATTATCAACATTAGCTTCCTAATTTATCACAATTATAACCTTTGCAATAAATTATTTATCTTAAGAATGTAAATACATTATCAACAAATTCATTATTACAAGTTTCACTTTCAGTGCAAACATATTATTATTTTTTACTTAGCTATGTACTGAGTACTCATCATTTTTGTTGATAAAATCTTGCTGAATTATTATTATTGTTATAATCATAATCAAGCACTAAACTAATAAGGGTCAAATTTTGCTGGAAAAAACAATATACTCAGATCACAACATAATTGAGGTTCAGTCATGTATGCGCGGAGCCCCAGACCGACATAATGAGATTAGTCACGAGGGAGCATTCACCAAATTCAACTTCAATAACAAAAACATAAAGTGGGACCAAGTAAACCAAGTCCTAACCGATATAAGCTGGGAAGATATACTAAGCAACACAGACCCCAACTTATGCCTAGAACAGATTAACTCGGTAGCACTCGATGTATGCACAAGGCTTATTCCTCTAAGAAAAAGGAGGAGTAGATGTAAAACAGAAAGAGACAGGCGCTCCCTTTACAGGCGACGGAAAAGAATAACAGAGCGGCTAAAAGAGGTCAATAAAATCTGAAATGCGTAGGGAGACACTGGTCAGAGAAATAGCAAGCATCGAACTTAAGCTAAAAGAAAACCTTTAGGAGTCAGGAATCGCGGAAAGAACTAAAAGCCATAAATGAAATCGAAAGAAACCCCAAAATATTTCTTCTCCTATGCCAAATCAAAATCGAGAACAACGTCCAGTATTGGGCCCTTACTTAAACAAGATGGGTCCTACACAGATGACAACAAGGAAATGAGTGAGCTACTCAAGTCCCAATATGACTCAGTTTTTAGCAAGCCGCTAACCAGACTGAGAGTCGAAGATCAAAATGAATTTTTTATTTAGAGAGCCACAAAATTTGATTAACACAAGCCTATCCGATGTTATCCTGACGCCAAATGACTTCGAACAGGCGATAAATGACATGCCCATGCACTCTGCCCCAGGCCAGACTCATGGGAAATCTGTGTTCATCAAGAACTGCAAGAAGCCCCTATCACGAGCCTTTTCCACCTATGGAGAGGGAGCATGGACACGGGGGTCGTCCCACAGTTACTAAAAACAACAGACATAGCCCCACTCCACAAAGGGGGCAGTAAAGCAACAGCAAAGAACTACAGACCAATAGCACTAACATCCCATATCATAAAAATCTTTTTAAAGGGGCCTAAGAAGCAAGATCACCACGCATCTAGAAACCCATCAGTTCACAACCCAGGGCAACATGGGTTTAGAACAGGTCGCTCCTGTCTGTCTCAACTATTGGATCACTACGACAAGGTCCTAAATGCACTAGAAGACAAAAAGAATGCAGATGTAATATATACAGACTTTGCAAAAGCCTTCGACAAGTGTGACCATGGCGTAATAGCGCACAAAATGCGTGCTAAAGGAATAACAGGAAAAGTCGGTCGATGGATCTATAATTTCCTCACTAACAGAACACAGAGAGTAGTCGTCAACAGAGTAAAGTCCGAGGCAGCTACGGTGAAAAGCTCTGTTCCACAAGGCACAGTAACTCGCTCCCCATCTTGTTCCTCATCCTTATATCCGACATAGACAAGGATGTCAGCCACAGCACCGTGTCTTCCTTTGCAGATGACACCCGAATCTGCATGACAGTGTCTTCCATTGCAGACACTGCAAAGCTCCAGGCAGACATCAACCAAATCTTTCAGTGGGCTGCAGAAAACAATATGAAGTTCAACGATGAGAAATTTCAATTACTCAGATATGGTAAACATGAGGAAATAAATCTTCATCAGAGTACAAAACAAATTCTAGGCCACAAAATAGAGCGAAACACCAACGTCAAAGACCTGGGAGTGATCATGTCGGAGGATCTCACCTTCAAGGACCATAACATTGTACAATCGCATCTGCAGAAAAAATGACAGATGGATAATGAGAACCTTCAAAACTAGGGAGGCCAAGCCCATGATGACACTCTTCAGGTCACTTGTTCTATCTAGGCTGGAATATTGCTGCACACTAACAGCACCTTTCAAGGCAGGTGAAATTGCCGACCTAGAAAATGTACAGAGAACTTTCACGGCGCGCATAACGGAGATAAAACACCTCAATTATTGGAGCGCTTGAGTTCCTAAACCTGTATTCCCTGGAACGCAGGAGGGAGAGATACATGATTATATACACCTGGAAAATCCTAGAGGACTAGTACCGAACTTGCACACGAAAATCACCCACTACGAAAGCAAAGACTTGGCAGACGATGCACCATCCCCCCAATGAAAAGCAGGGTGTCACTAGCACGTTAAGAGACCATACAATAAGTGTCAGGGGCCCGAGACTGTTCAACTGCCTCCCAGCACACATAAGGGGGATTACCAACAGACCCCTGGCAGTCTTCAAGCTGGCACTGGACAAGCACCTAAAGTCAGTTCCGGATCAGCCGGGCTGTGGCTCGTATGTTGGTTTGCGTGCAGCCAGCAGCAACAGCCTGGTTGATCAGGCTCTGATCCACCAGGAGGCCTGGTCTCAGACCGGGCCGCGGGGGCGTTGACCCCCGGAACTCTCTCCAGGTAAACTCCAGGTAAGTTATTTTTTTTTATGAATTAGCGTCCAGCCCATACCTACTGATGTAACTTTTGAAAGAGAACTAGTAAGTTTTTGTAATACCAGAATGTGATAGTTACATCAATAAGTTATAACACCAGATCATGATAGATTTGTCAATAATTATAACACCAGATCATGACAGGTTTATCAATAAGTTATAACACCAGAGCATCACAGGTTTATCAGCAAGTTATAACACCAGATCATGACAGGTTTATCAATAAGTTATAACACCAGAGCATCATAGGTTTATCAATAAGTTATAACACCAGATCATGATAGGTTTATCAATAAGTTATAACACCAGATCATGATAGGTTTATCAATAAGTTATAACACCAAATCATGATAGGTTTATCAATAAGTTATAACACCAGATCATGATAGGTTTATCAATTAGTTATATCACCAGATCATGAAAGGTTTATCAATTAGTTATATCACCAGATCATGATAGGTTTATCAATAAGTTATAACACCAGATCATGATAGGTTTACCAATAAGTTATAACACCAGATCATGATAGGTTTATCAATTTATTTATTTATTTATTAATTTAGTAATTTAAGCATACAAACAGAGGTACAAAATTATAAGTTATAATGCCAGATCATGATAGGTTTATCAATAAGTTATAACACCAGATCATGATAGGTTTATCCATAAGTTATAACACCAGATCATGATAGGTTTATCAATAAGTTATAACACCAGATCATGATAGGTTTATCAATAAGTTATAATGCCAGATCATGATAGGTTTATCAATAAGTTATAACACCAGATCATGATAGGTTCATCAATAAGTTATAACACCAGATCATGATAGGTTTATCAATTAGTTATATCACCAGATCATGATAGGTTTATCAATTAGTTATATCACCAGATCATGATAGGTTTATCAATAAGTTATAACACCAGATCATGATAGGTTTACCAATAAGTTATAACACCAGATCATGATAGGTTTATCAATAAGTTATAATGCCAGATCATGATAGGTTTATCAATAAGTTATAACACCAGATCATGATAGGTTTATCAATAAATTATAACACCAGATAAATGATGGTTTATCAATAAGTTATAATGCCAGATCATGATAGGTTTATCAATAAGTTATAACACCAGATCATGATAGGTTTATCAATAAGTTATAACACCAGAACATGATAGGTTTATCAATTAGTTATATCACCAGATCATGATAAGTTTATCAATAGTTATAACACCAGATCATGATAGGTTTACCAATAAGTTATAACACCAGATCATGATAGGTTTATCAATTAGTTATATCACCAGATCATGATAGGTTTATCAATAAGTTATAACACCAGATCATGATAGGTTTATCAATAAGTTATAACACCAGATCATGATAGGTTTATCAGTAAGTTATAACACCAGATCATGATAGGTTTATCAATTACTTATATCACCAGATCATGATAGGTTTATCAATAAGTTATAACACCAGATCATGATAGGTTTACCAATAAGTTATAACACCAGATCATGATAGGTTTATCAATAAGTTATAACACCAGATCATGATAGGTTTATCAATTAGTTATATCACCAGATCATGATAGGTTTATCAATAAGTTATAACACCAGATCATGATAGGTTTACCAATAAGTTATAACACCAGATCATGATAGGTTTATCAATAAGTTATAACACCAGATCATGATAGGTTTATCAATTAGTTATATCACCAGATCATGATAGGTTTATCAATAAGTTATAATGCCAGATCATGATAGGTTTATCAATAAGTTATAACACCAGATCATGATAGGTTTATCAATAAGTTATAACACCAGATCATGATAGGTTTATCAATTATTTTATATCACCAGATCATGATAGGTTTATCAATAAGTTATAATGCCAGATCATGATAGGTTTATCAATAAGTTATAACACCAGATCATGATAGGTTTATCAATAAGTTATAATGCCAGATCATGATAGGTTTATCAATAAGTTATAATGCCAGATCATGATAGGTTTATCAATAAGTTATAATGCCAGATCATGATAGGTTTATCAATAAGTTATAACACCAGATCATGATAGGTTTATCAATTAGTTATATCACCGGATCATGATAGGTTTATCAATAAGTTATAACACCAGATCATGATAGGTTTATCAATAAGTTATAACACCAGATCATGATAGGTTTATCTCCCTACTTTTTACCAGAATATATTTTAATGAGACTTCTTTAGATGGTGAACAAACTAAACATTCATTTCTTCTATGAGTTTTCACCTGCATTAACAGATCTGTTGCATCCAAATTAGCTGTTAGACATCCTGTTGTTTCTCTTTTGTGTGAATTCTCAAATGTTTTACTAAATAAGATTTTCGCGTGAAGTTCCTCTGACACTGTGGACAATGGTGCGGTTTCTCTCCTGAGTGAATGCTCATGTGCGTTACTAGAGTCGATTTTAACGAGAATTTTTTAAGGCACACCGAGCAAGGATACGGCTTTTCTCCTGTGTGTGTTCTAATATGCTTGATTAAATTAGATTTATCTGAAAAGTCTTTTTGGCACTCTGAGCACCGGAAGGTTTTCTCTCCTGTGTGAATCCTCATGTGTATCACTAAATGATATTTAAGAGAGAAGCATTTTAAGCATATAGAACACTGAAATTCTCTCTCTCCTGTATGAATGACCATGTGTCTGTCTAAGTGAGATTTTCGCAGGAAGTATTTTAGACATTCTCTGCACCGATGTGATCTTTTATCACTGTGAATTTCTTGGTGTCTTACTAAAGTAGCTTTTAGTGAAAACCCTTTTGAACATTCTGGACAACGATATGGTTTTTCTCCAGTGTGAATTCTCATGTGTGTGAGTAAATTAGATTTGCGGATGAAGTCTTTTAAACACACTGAACACCGGTAAGGTTTTTCTCTTCTATGAAGTCGCAAATGTGTTACTAAACTAGATTTATGGGAAAAGTTCTTCAGACACACAGGACACTGGTAAGGTTTCTCTCCTGTGTGAATTCTCATGTGTGTTATTAGGTTAGATTTTCGTACAAAGTTTTCTGGGCACTCTAAGCACTGAAATGTTCTTTCACTATGAATGCCCAAGTGCTCTGTTAAAGATGGTTTCCGTGAAAAAGCTTTTAGGCACTTAGTGCACTTGTATGGTTTCTCTCCAGTGTGAGTTCTTTTGTGTTTTATTAAATGAGATTTTGTTGTAAAGGCTTTTAGACACACAGAACACTGGTAAGGTTTCTCTCCTGTGTGCATTCTCATGTGTGTAACTAAAGTTGATTTATGTGAAAAGTCTTTTAAACATTCTGAACACTGATATGGTTTTTCTCCTGTGTGAACTCTCATATGTGTTACTAAATTACATTTTAGTTTAAAATCTCTTAAACACATTGAACACTGATATGGTTTTTGTTTTCTATGAGTTCCCATTTCTGTTTTTGGAGCAGAATCTTTTTTAACTTTATTGAACATACTGAACACTGACAATGTTCTTTTTCCATATATATCCTTAATTTTTTTCCATAACTAGATTTTTTCTTAATAATTTATCAACTCTGAACCCCAATACAGTTTTGTCTTATAAATAAATTCAAAAGAAGTGCTCTTGGAAGAACTGATAATTTGGTTTAATGTCAAAAGTTGCATTCTAAAATTTTATGATTTTTGTGTGATGTGTGTCACACATTTCTATATAAACAATATATCATGTTGAAACAAACTTCTATTAAACAAGGAGAATTTTTTCAAATTTTTGGGGGCTCACTGAACACTAATATTGTATTTATTTTCTCTTGTACACACCCACTATATACTACTAAATTAAAAATAAATACATTTGAAGACCATGAAACCTTCTCATGGTTTCTCCTCGGTAATATTCTATAATATTCTTTCCTAACTATTACTAGAGGACATTCGACATAATTTCTTAATGGTGGAAACTCTCATTATACTTAACTGCAAAGACTGCTCTTACCTTTTACATCGGGTAATGATATTACAACCCATGTGGGTTTGGCACACGCTTTCAAGTATAAAAATAATTTGTGCATCAAATATTTACGAAGGTAAACCAAATTTAGTTATGTTTAAAAATGAGATGTGATGTAAATAATAAAGTCGATATAAAGGAAATCACATCTCAAATATTCACATTTTTATAGCAATGATAGGGTAAACAGCTTGGTAAATTATATGATTGTATTATTCATGTCTTATAAAGTGACACACTGCAGAATAAACACTGGAAGAGGCTAAAATACCTTTGAAAAGATATGATTAATTTAAATAAATATACTGGAGTTGAGTAAGCAGGTGTTGGAATGTGATTAACAGTGAGATGGAAGGAGAGTGTGAAGACATGATAACAGGAAGAGAGTGAAGATATGATAATGGAAAATGGAATGTTAATTCATACTAAGCACCAAACCCATGTGGGTCATTCAGCACAGGATGTGGCAGAGGCTTGATCCTCTGTCTGCTGAGAGCGAGACAGACGTGCATCTTATTTGTGGAGAAACAAACTAATACTCACTGCAATCACTGAAATGTAAAATTACTTAAATTATTGTATTAAATTTAGGAGGCTGTTTACCTGCTATAGCACATCGGCTCGCTGCTCACTGAATGCTCATTCAGCTCACTCCCTTAGGATCTGAGTTCATTTTTGCACTAGTGAACATATGATCAAATCTCCTCATATCTGGTCCTCTGTTTACTAGCAGGAAGTAGGTGCTTGGGTGTTGGTCATCTGTTGTAGCAAACTTATGTTGACACTTATAGTGAACTACTTCTCATACACAAGTTTAGCTTTTGCTGCAATGACAGAAAGTATGTACTGTACAGCAGTATGAATTAGAGGAATGAACATATATCAGGTAAACAGATATACACAGACTGAGGGAGTCTATATGGTATTCTGGATGTTGTGATGACCTCTAAGATCACAAGTATTGACACTGTATAATACACGTATTTGACAATGTTTGTACTTTAAGACACAGTGTTGGCACTGTATTTTTTTGCATTTCTACTACTTTCATGAGCTTTATGACAACATATGATGGTTACGTGCAGATAACACTGCTAGTGCTAGGGTGAGCTCTGTGAGAGTGGTGCTATCATATACATGCTCTACTATTGGCCTACACATGATCTTTTTGGTACTGCAGCTGCACGTTCCTAGTCAAGATGACCTGCAAAATAGAGAGAGATTATTAGGACTTTATTTAGACTACAATAATCTAAAACATATTTGAGCTTTCGTTAAACTTTGGCTGCAAAGTCATTCAAATTTTCTGTTGTATAAAATTTAATTACATTACTCACAAAACTAATATATCTCAGATCACTTTTTCATTCTGTTCATACTAACACACTAGCAAATGTGAAAATTGATAAATCCAAGTGAAATAAAAAAGTATAACCAAGACTGTCACTGATGATCAATGTATGTTACTTAGTAAGTCAAGTACACCTACCATCCGACTTATGACCGAGCTTGGTTCTGACCAACCGGTCGTAAATCAAAATGGATGCAAGTCTGACAACAAAAACAGTTGTTTATTTACATACAAAACATTTGTATGCACGAAAACATACGAAAACATTCGGAAGCATGAGCAGAAAAGTACAAAATAAGTTTAGCTAAGCCGTAAACAGTATGGTCATTAGTATGAGTAGTGGTATGTTGAGCAGGTTGTAAGTTGGATGGTAGGTGTACTGTTGTATTTTTTTTTTATTAACACATTGGCCGTTTCCCACCAAGGTATGGTGGCCCGAAAAACTTTCACCATCATTCACTCCATCACTATCTTGTCAGAGGCGTGCTTACACTACAGTTATAAAACTGCAACATTAACACCCCTCCTTCAAAGTGCAGACACTGTACTTCCCATTTCCAGGACTCAAGCCCGACCTCCTGGTTTCCCTGAATCCCTTCATAAATGTTACCTTGCTCACACTCCAACAGCACATCAAGTCCTAAAAACCATTTGTCTTCATTCACTCCTACCTAACATGCTCACGCATGCTTGCTGGAAGTCCAAGCCCCTCGCACACAAAACCTCCTTTACCCCCTCCCTCCAACCTTTCCTAGGCCGACCCCTACCCTGCCTTCCCTCCACTACAGATTTATGCACTCTCGAAGTCATTCTATTTTGTTCCATCCTCTATACATGTCCAAACCACCTCAGCAACCCTTCCTCAGCCCTCTGGATAATAGTTTTGGTAATCCCGCCCCTCCTCCTAATTTCCAAACAACGAATTCTCTGCATTATATTCACACCACATGTTGCTCTCAGACATGACATCTCCATTGCCTTCAGCCTTCTCCTTGTTGGAACATTCAAAACCCATTTCACACTCATATAAGGGCATTGGTATAACTATACTCTCATATATTCCACCTCCTTGCTTCCATGAACAAAGTTCTTTGACTCCACAGACTCCTCAGTGCACCACTCACCATTTTCCCCTCATCAGTTCTATGATTTGCCTCATCTTTCATAAACCCATCTGCTGACATGTCCACTCCTAAATATCTGAGTACTTTCACCTCCTCCATACTCTCCTCATCCAATCTGATATCCAATCATTCATGTCTTCAGCAAAGAGCAACTGTGACAACTCCCACTTTGTGTTAGGTTCTCTATCTTTTAACCCCACACCTCTTGCCAACACCCAAGCATTCACTTCTCTTACAACCCCATCTATAAATATATTGAACAACCACAGTGACATTACACATCCTTGTCTAAGGACTACTTTTACTGGGAATTAATCTCCCACTCTCCTACATACTCTAACCTGAGCCTCACTATCCTTGTAAAAACTCTCCACTGCTTTCAGTAATCTACCTCCTATTCCATACATTTACAACATTGCCCCCCTATCCACCCTGTCATACACCTTTTCCAAATCCATAAATGCCACATAAACCTCTTTACCCATATCTAATACTATTCACTGTTTCACTGTAAACACTTTGTCTACACACCCCTACCTTTCCTAAAAACTATATCCCCACCTGCTTTTAACACTTCTGTCTTTATCCCATCAATTCCAGCTGCTTTACCCCCTTAAATTCTACCCATTGCCTCACAAACTTCCCCCACACTCACAACTGGCTCCTCCTCACTCCTACAAGATGCTATTCTTCCTTGCCATATACATGCAATCACAGCTTCCTTATCTTCATCAACTGTTGTATTTGTTAAGTAAATGAATGTGTGAACACAGTCTCAGCCATGCTCAGGTGTGTTTAATAAGCCATAAAGATACTTCTATACCTAGACAAAAGTGACTTGATGTAACAAGGTCAGTGAGACATACCCTCTCTTGAGCAGTATGTCTTTCTGCCTCCCAAACACTTACAGGATACAAAACTGTCTTACTTTTGTATATAGTATTTACTTATAATAATGTCCTTATTAATTTATAATAAATGTCCTTATTAACTTATAATAAATGTCCTTATTAATTTATAATAAATGTCCTTATTAACTTATAATAAATGTCCTTATTACCTTATAATACATGTCCTTATTACCTTATAATAAATGTCCTTGTTAATTTAAAATAAATGTCCTTATTAATTTATAATAAATAGCTTTAACTTGCTACCAGCAGGTTATACAGCCACTCTTCACTTAGCGACATACTCGTTTACTGACGCCTCAGACTTACGACTGGCTTTCTGACCAGTATGCATATTTAAATAATGTCGTATATTAGAGCTGATTTCCTCTATTCTGTTAATTACAATATACAGTACACTACTGTATAAACATTTTAAAAATATACCAGAAATATTATAAATGGTGCAAAGGTGACATTAAAACAATATCAAAGATGGTTGACACAAATCTACTACCATTATATGTTCTTCACTTAACAATGAATTCGTTTACTGATGTGGTTTCAAGAACGGAGCTCCATCATTAAGTGAGGAGAGGCTGTAATATAATTGATAATTTATTTAGTAATAAGATCATTTAACCCTTTCATAGACCCCTGGCAGTCTTCAAGCTGGCACTGGACAAGCACCTAAAGTTGGTACCTGACCAGCCGGGCTGTGGCTTGTACGTACGTTGGTTGTGTGCCGCCAGCAGTAACAGCCTGGTTGATCAGGCTCTGATCCACCAGGCCGCCTGGTCACAGACCAGGCCACGGGGATGTTGACCCCCGGAACTCTCTCCAGGTAAACTCCAGGGTAGAGGGGGCCTCTCCTAAACTTGTTCTCAGGGTCAAAAATTTTTCGGGAAAAAAAAATAATTTTTTCTTATGAAATGATAGAGAATCTTTTCCCAATCATAATGACACCAAAAGTATGAAATTTGATGGAAAACTTACGGAATTATGCTCTCGCAAAGTTAGCAGCCTCGACAATGTTTACACATTGGCGATTCCGCCCACTTTGAGCCGTTTTTGGCCAATTCCTGTGTACTAGTCGACAAAAATCATATTTATTTTGCTAGAACTCCATTTTTTCTATTGAATGAGTACAAGAAACCACCCATTTACCAATTTCAACTACCCAATAAAGTGGTTAGAAATTGGCAATTTTGCCAATTTCACACAAATTTCAGAAGATGCCAATTTCCAAATAGGGTCAAGAATAAACAAGAAAGACATTCCTGGCACTAAAAATAACACATTCTCTGTTCATTAGTCACGTCCCCAGGCCCTTCTTATATTTCTTTTGATTTCCACTTTGAATTTTTATTCTCACAAAAAATAGAAGATTTACTATTACGCAGACTACTGCATTAGTGTAGAAATGGTATAAATAATATCAGCGCACTTGTGAAAGAATATTAGACTCACCAGTTGATGTGTATTGGATGCTTGGCATGATCTGTTTACTTTTGAACTTTGGTAAAAATCAAACATTTCTGCTACTATGAGCTCAATTTCAAGGTACTTTTCATTGTGAAACCAATCAAAATCATTGCAATTTTTGTAATATGTCTTCCATTCTATAAAATGAGACCAGGAAAACTAGAATACAACCATAAATACCATATGAAAATACAGTGCAAAGTCGCTGTTTTAATCCAAAAACAGGATCAAAGTTTTTTTTTCCTCATTACGCAGTGTGTGCTGCAGAATTTTTTTTTATACTGCGTACACTGACCACATAGACCCATTCTTTCATATGTAGGCCTACCAGCTTTCTCTCGCTAGATTTGAAGACGCTCGAATTTATGCATACTAGTACATCAACAACCCTGGTGCGTAAGCTGTACTAGTACGTCGAAAACCCTGAAAGGGTTAATAAACCAAGAAAATATTCAAACTTTGACTCATCAAGACCTGGCATCATAACATTAGTAACTTCTGCCATCAGACATCTGATGCTGTTATTAAAATTGACACTTGTTTTATTTCAGATTTGTGATTGGAACTGTTACTCTCATAATGAACCCCATCACCAATACAGTGGACCCCCGCATAACGATATTAATCCGTTCATGAGAGCTCATTGTTATGCGAAATTATCGTTATGCGAATGAATTTTCCCCATAAGAAACAATGGAAATCAAATTAATCCGTGCAAGACACCCAAAAGTATGAAAAAAAAAATTTTACCACATGAAATATACATTTTCCTACACACAAAGAGAAGGATACATGCACAATAGTAGAGTAGTACATGCACAGTATATATTGTGCATGTACTACTCTACTAAATGAAGAATAAATGACACTTACCTTTATTGAAGATGCAGCAATGACTGATGAGACACTGTGTCCTGGGAGTACCTTTTCCTCCTGAGTACTGTAGGTCCTGTTTGGTATTTTCTTCCAATAATGTTTTATCACTGATTTCATCATTGCTTAGTTAATCTTAAGTTAAATTTTAAGCCAGCCCGTAATGCTATGCATATAAGTGGCTTTGGCATGCTGCTCTTACCTGTATTTTTTTGTACCTCTGTATGTATGCTAAAATTACTAAATAAATAAAATAAATAAATAAATAAACAGGCCTTATCACACTGTGTATGCCACTACGATTCTTAAATCTCTCAAACCAACCTTGCTGGCTTTAAATTCACCAATATGAGCACTAGTTCCAGGCGTTTTTCCCTGTTCACCTGGGTGTTAGTCGACTGGTGTGGGTTGCATCCTGGGAGACAAGATTAAGGACCCCAATAGAAATAAGTTACAGTCTTCGATGACACTGATTTTTTTG